AAGAGAAGGCGCGACGAAGTGTTGTCCCGAGCTCGTCGCGAAAGGCAGGATGCGGGGGGTGAGGAGCCGCAGTTGGAGCCTGAGGCTGCGGCTGAAATCCCGGTAAGCCCCCCGCCGGACTCTGTCTCGGCGGAGCCTGCGTGGCGTCCGAAGGTCCCCGAGATAGTGGTCATTGAAACAGACCCCGACTCTCCAACTGACCTCGCTTGGAGAGAGAGACTCATAACGACAGCCCTGGCACAGTCCGTGAATGTATCGAAGGCAGTCTCATCGGGGTCAGCAGCAATTGTCCAGCTGCTGCGGGATGCCCTCCAGTACGCACTCGAGCTTCAAGGGGCGGTCCCCCAGGCTCATCTCGATCACATCTATGAGTGCGTGCTTACTTACCTGTTGGCTGGAACAGGTAAGGGCGGAGGGGAGCAAAAACATCCCAAGAAAAGGGCGAGGGGCAGGAATGCCTACCGACGGTATGTCTATGCCCGAACCCAGGACCTATATAAGAAAAACCCAGGCCTGCTTGCCAAATATGTGAGGGAGGATGTGCGTTGGTACGGCGATACCAACCAGATCGAGGAAAATGACATCCGCCAGCTGTACCAGGAGTTATGGGGGACCGAGTCGGTGGTACAGCTACCTCACATCGATGGAGATCCAGTCCCGCCCATTGAGGTGGACGACATCCTTAGCCCCTTTACAGCTAAGGAAATAAGGGCTAGGATCTCCAAAACAAAGTCAGACTCGGCTGCCGGCCCTGATGGGCTAAGGAAGGGACATATAACACACAGGCAGTCCGAGGAAGTTCTCCAGATGCTCTTTAATTTGATCTTAACGTGTGGAAGGCAGCCCACACACTGGAGAATGAACCGTACAACGTTGGTCAAGAAAGAGGGCAAAGATGGCAGCAAAGTGGACTCTTACAGACCGGTTACCGTCTGTTCGCTTTTAAGTCGATTATACTGGGGAATAATCGACCAGAAGCTAAGAGTCCACGTACGGTTCACACCTCGCCAAAAGGGGTTCGTGTCGGAGGCGGGGTGCTTCAATAATGTGCACATCCTTAACGAGTTGCTGCGGCACTCGAAAGGCAACGCAGGTCTGGTCGCAGTGCAGCTGGACATCAGCAAAGCCTTTGATACTATTCCCCATAGTGTCATTGGGGACGCACTGCGAAGGAAGGGTCTTCCCGAGTCGGTGGTACGTCTCGTGATAGACTCATATAAGGATGTGCACACGGTCATCAAACAAGGCATGGTCGAGATTCCCATGCAGCTCCAGCGAGGGGTGAAGCAAGGCGATCCCCTCTCCCCATTCATCTTCAACGCAGTTTTGGAACCCCTTTTACTGCAGCTGGAGCGTCAGCCGGGGTACAAAGTCAAAGACGAAGGCATATCGTCGCTGGCCTTCGCAGATGACTTAATTTTGGTTGCGACCGAAGTACCACAGGCCAGAAAACTGCTAAGTGATGTGGAGGCATACCTTAACGGATTGGGTATGAAAATATCGGCACCCAAGTGTGCCTGCTTCCACATCAAAACCACTAAAGACTCCTGGTACTTAGCAGATCCCCGGCTGACCCTTTCAGGTGGAGAGGTCATCCCGTTCGCGGACGCGGAGACCAAGCTCACCTATCTGGGTATGACAATATCTCCTTGGGTTGGTGTAACGATTGAGGGCCTCAGGGAGAGCATGGGGGAAACTCTTGAGAGAGTCAAGAAGTTGTCCCTCAAACCGACCCAGAAGGCAGAGTTAATCTCCACCTACCTAGTCCCACACTACCTGTATAGACTGGTGCTGGCAGTTCCGCCAGTCACAGCTATCAGGCAGCTCGACCAGGAGCTACGGGTAGTGATACGCGATATTTACCACTTGCCGCAATCAGTTGCGGATGGGTTGATCTATTGCGGCAAGAGAGACGGGGGACTAGGTTTTCCCAAGCTGGAGGTGGTAGTGACAAGCTCCAGCTTGAAGGCGGGGTACCGTTTCCTAAACGGAACGGACCCCATAATGCGAGCTCTTGCAGACGGGACAGGCTTGGTAAAGCGTCTCGAAAACCTGGCCCGATCTGCACGAGTGACTTGGCCCTTGCGAGGTGTGAGAGACCTCGATCTCTATAAGCAAAGGGCCAAGAGAGAAGAGCTCGCAAGGTGGGCTTCGCTGGTCTCGCAAGGCAAGTCGGTTCAGTCTCTTTCCGACAACACGGTTGCCAATGCATGGCTGTTTAACCCTAAGCTCCTAAAGCCATGCCGATTCATAACGGCCCTCAAAATGCGGACCAACACCGCCGTCACAAGGGTGGTGATGAATAGAGCGAAGCCCCAAGCGGAACTCAAATGTAGAAGATGTGTGTCCAAGTTGGAGACGCTTGGCCACATCTTGGGCGAGTGTGTCCACACAAAAGCCCAGAGGATCCGCAGGCATGACGAGATAAAGGATCTCGTCATGGCCGAAACACAGAAAAGAGACAAACAGGTAGTAGTATCAAAAGAATCCACATTCCAGTTAACTGGAGGGGTTGTACTCAAACCTGACTTGGTGGTACAGAGCCAGGGAAGGGTCTTCGTGGTCGATATCACAGTCCGCCACGAGGATGGGGACTATCTCGCCCAGGGACGAAGGAGCAAGTTAGAGAAATATGCTCCGCTACTACCTGTTCTACAGCAGAGGGTAGGAGCTGATGCTGGAGAAGTCCTACCGGGTGTGGTAGGAACGAGGGGGGCAATACCCAAGGAGTCGGTCGAAGCTCTCAAGAAGCTACGAATAAACGACCGCAAAACGCTCATCACCATCTCGATGATAGCGTTACGTAGTTCCATAGAGTTATATCACACCTTCATGGACTACGATGCCCCGCCTCGCACCGGCATCCGTTAGCTGGGACCGAGCCGGAAACTCCTGGCCAATTAGCTCACTGGTATTTTCGATTTTAATTTTGTGACTTGTCTTTTGTGTATCATCCGAAGTTGATTTTTAATTATTTATTATTTTAACCATTGACCATCTCAGGCTAAACCCTTTACATCTAGCTTGACTCTGTGATATTACTGTGATATATATGTGTGTGTGAGCCGTCGTAATTTATTATTTTAGGTGACAGCTAGTAACCGATACTAGTGATGCGAGTCCTGGGTCTGAGGCCGGTGTCACGTGGGCCGACTCAGGGCGGCGAAGCGGTAGCTTAACGGCGCCGGGCGGAAACCTCCGCGTGGTTCGCCGCGGGCAACGGCGGCGTCCCAGACGTCTCCGGCGAATTCCGCTTTCTCAGCCAGAGAACTTCGCTTGACAATTTTTCCAAGGCCCGTAAATGCCGAGACTCCCTTCCAGCAGGTCAAGTTTGACAGGTTTCCCCCCGAGGGGGGACTCGGGCCAGGAGTCGTTAGTTCTAGTGGGAGCGAGAGTTAGATGGCTCTACAAGGCATCGCTTTGGTACTTGGGGCGAAGAAGATGAGCCAAAGCTACTCGGCAAGGCTTATCGGAGCCGGGGTACCGAATCAGGGCTTATGCTTGTCTAAACCAAGGAGGGCCATTCCACCAGAGCGAATGTTGAGCCAATTTTATTGTTGTTAGCCCTCTCGATGCACAATCTGCAGGGTTCTGCTTCCCAGGGATGAACATCCATTTAGCGGTGGGCTGAAGATCTTGAATTTTGATGACATGATTACACACGTACTCCTTCCAGCGAGATGGTTGGCTTCGAATCCATGTAAGAGCCACAGACGAGTCTGTTCACAGATAGATAGGAACTTCTTCAAGCTCAAGTGTTTTACTCACATAGCGAGTATTACTGCAGCGTTTAATTCTAAGCGTGGAATTGTAGTGTGTTGTAGAGGTGCAACTTGAATTTTAGCACACACAAGCGAGACTGTAGGACTTCCGTCAGGCGAGATAACCTTCAGGTACACTTCTGCTGATTGACTCGATATTAGCGAGGTTTTCTCTGAATATATTCCACTTTTGCACTAGCGTAGGAGAGAGCGGTTCATCCCAAGTAACTTTTTCAAGCTACAATTCTTGCATCAGCATTTTGGCTCGTACAACCACAGGAGCGAGAAATCCAAGAGGATCGAATAGGCGAGCTGTTTCAGAGAGAATAGATCGCTTTGTAACTGCCTTTTCAATAGAAAAATGATAAGAGAATTTAAACTTATCTGCTGAATGGTGCCAATTTAATCCCAGCACCTTGATGGTAGTCTCTTCAAAGCTGGTTGAACTTGCAGGTGATCTATCCGTTGTAAAGACTTGTTGAAGTAGCTCATCAAAGTTGCTGGCCCACTTTGCGAGCGGAAAACCTCCAGAAGTACAGATTTCAATTAGCTGGTTAGCGATTTTAGCGGCTTCTTGTGGCGAATCAGTCGTCTACGTAGCGACCCTTCGTGAGCGGCTCTACAGCGAGGGAAAACTTTATTCCTTCATCTTGGACCAGTTGCAAAAGCATACGTACTGCTAGAAAAGGTGCTCAACGGGTGCCATAAGTAACTGTAAGATAATAAGGTACTACCTGTTGTTGCGAATTAACCCAGAG